TGCACAGGTCCTGCTTTACCTTGGTCTTAACCATCCAGCAGAAAAGTATAAAAACGAAGTATAAGAAGTAAAGCCATGCTGTTATGTTGAGCTGTAGACGATTGAGACCAACAATTTCTGACTTTGTCAGTGAAGCGGAAGAGTCAATACTATTATGGACTACTGGACTCTATTAGAATATTTTGCTGTTAAAACACCTATAATATTCAAATAATGGAACTAAACAGAAAAGGGGGTACAGATGAATGTCCATTTTGTATCTGTGTATTCAAAATGGTTAGCATAGATATATAGTTACATTCTCTTAATGAATAGAGGGATTTGTTCTAATAGTGTTTGTCAATAGGATATCATGTCTGCATCTTGTACAACAAATAATCACTAGGAAGACAGTATGCAATATGTTAATTATTGAAACTGTCCTACCAATTTTGTTTGAAGCTGTCTCATTGCTGTTTGTTTCTCAATAAAATTATGGGAAAAAACTTGTTTGCAAAAGAAGAAAAAAACAACTATAGGAATGTTATTTTATTTTATTTTATTTTATTTTATTTTTGAGGCCAGCTCAGCCCACCCTGGGATGTGGAGCTGGCATATCATATCGTTTTTGGGACTGAACCACGTTCCCTGTGCACTTGCCTAAGCTTGCCTAAGCAGGCATTTTAGACTGCTGAGTTATCTTGCCAACCTCTACTATATCAATGTAACTTTGCAAATTAAAGAGATAAATCAAAACAGACACTACCAAAATACATGGAATTATTAGAATTTATTTATAAAATATATTCCAAAGAATTAGGTAAGGGAGAAGAATGGAGGAAACCCTAACACATATGAATTATCAAAATTGTATTGAAAGTGTAATCCACTATGGCAATGTATATCTGAAACTGAAACTTCAATGAGTACAACAGTCTTACATTTTTTATATAATGTTTGTTTTACAGTTCTTGTTTTTGCTTTGCATATATAGTAATTAACTTTTTAAGGTCTTATAAGATAAATAAATGTATCAAATACTGGCAAAACTAATCGGGAGTAGAGGGAAGGGTGAAAGTGCAACAATATATTTCAAATGTGCTATGTACATGTACCAATTCCCTCAATAAATGTAATTACTATGTGCAAAAAAAGAAACTAAGAAAATAAGAAATTAAGATGACAGTGGTAAAAGGAGACATAATAAGTTAAAGCATTAACTGCTTCTTTCCACAGACCAGCAGAAATGCACAGTACAGTTGTCGAAACCACCCTCCTTACATACATAGATAATTCTCTGTTCCTCACTCTCTCTCCTATCTTTCTCTACAACTCAGTAACTCTTTCCTTTTGCATAAGTTAATTTCCTTTTACTAGTGTCTATTGTACCCTTCAGGTTCTATTTTTTCTCTCTCAGTTTCTTACACTGAGGAGGCAATGTTTGCACATGTGGGTCTGATTTATTTCACATAAAATATGGTCTGTATTTGAATTCATTTACAAAAAAACCCTCAAACTTATCCTGTTTTATAGCAGAATAATACTCCATTGTGTAAAAATACCACATCTTCCTTATCCATTCTTCAGTTGATGGGCACCTGGGTTGTTCCCAGGATTTAGCTATGACAAATTGTGTTGCTATAAACACGGGTGCACATATATTACTGTGGTGTGAGGTTTTCAGTTCTTTTGAATAGCTGGCTTGAGTGGGATCTCCAATCATAGATTTTGAAGGAATCTACTCACTGATTTCCATAGTGGTTGTACCAGTCTGCAT